CCAGTGTCAACTTCAGAGTTAATTTTACTCATTTTAGTGTCAAAATCAACAATGAATCGAGTAAAATTATTTAACACTATAGCTCGTTAACACTCTACAGAGTAATATTATTTTTAAGGAGTTAATTTTACACTAAACTTTCTTTAAAAAGTACACTTTAGCATTAATTTTTGTTTTCCTTTTTACACAGTGTGAAACACAGAACACAGAGTTCTGCACTCTATCCTAAATTTAAAATCAACACTTAAAGTGTTGTATTATCACTGATCATTAATTGGCAAAACAGCACAACAGTGTGACCCTTCACACACCAGGAAGTACCTCTCACTCATGAAGTCGACTTATGGCAAATAACACAAAACTTAAATTTGAAAAACCAACCAACCTGAACAAGAACACTAACCAGAAAAACAAATGTTTACACTCACGAATCTTTTTAATAGTCTTAGACATGTAAACACATCATTTCTGCAAGATTACCCAGCATTCCTTGCTGAGAAAATTCTGGTCCAAGAGGAAGAAGGCGGAGCTTTTCAGAATACTTCTTTCAACACTGCATGGTGTTGAAAAAACGACACTGTTAAGTGTTAATCGAGACTTAACAGTGGGCGGAGCTTATTTAACACTGCCCAGTGTTGAGACAACACTGAGGAAATCAACTTTGTGAATTCACATCAATGGTGCGTTCACACCGAACGCGATTTCAGCTTCAAAATCGCAGCCAACGCTGAAGTTTGAAGCTCGTGCACTTTGAGGTCAGACGCAGGACAGTTGTTGAAGCGCCGCACGGCGACAGCCGCCCCGCCCCTCCCTCCTCTGTCGGGCTCCGTTTAATGTCGGACGAGGAAGTGGCTTTGCTTTAATTTACAGACAGCCAGAACGTGTCACGTTCATCAGATAATTAATTCATAATTAATTCACCAGATAATTCAGAGAAGAGGCTCACAGCTGCTTTCAGGACTACTTTTTTCAGTCTGATGAGTCGCTGYCACGCATTGCTGCGGATCAGGACACGACTGCAGCACTCATTTTAGCTAAAGAGCAGGAGCTCTGTCTGTTTCAGTTTAGTGGACCTCATTCAGTAAACTGTCCCGTCGGGAAATATGTCRCTACGTCACACAGTGGAGTCTCTCTGATTGGTTGACGCTGCGCGTCGAGCTGCAAAAGTTCAGATTTTCTAACTTCAGCGATTTGGACGATTTGGACGATCTGAGCGTTCGACGCTCAGATCGTCCAAATCGTTCAAATCGCGCTGCTCTAATCGCGCTTGAGGCGCCGCAGAACTTCCCGACGTTGCTTGAAGCGCGTCCACCATAGACTTTGCATGTAAACCTGCTGCTCCTGACGCTGAAATCGCGTTTGGTGTGAACGCACCATAAGACCGACACTTAAGAATTAATCCTACACTTCGCTTAAAGTGAGACTGAGATGCTTGATAACTGACTTTTACTCTCAGCTTTTATCTAAGAATTATTTTACACTTAAGTCCACTCTTAGCAGCATTCTTAAGAGTAATTCTAAGAAGTTTTATAAATACGGGTCCAGGTCTTCTTCAGTACCTCCTCCATGTCCTTCGCCTCCTGCAAATCTGTAAGGAAACAACAAAACATTCTTACTCAAGCAACTGTTCGTTCCTGAATCTCTCCACCATTTTGCCGTTCATCTTGTCCTCCCCCACTTTTGCGGATCTCCTGGATTTTCTCCTGTTCCTGTAAATAGAAAAACCTCACCCGTAAATAAAATAATTTACCTTTTTTTTATCCTGCCTCAGAGTCTGGCTTCTTGTTTCGCACATTTTGACACTTCCTGGTTCATGTCATTTATGAGGTTTCAAAATGATTTAAAGTTAAAGAGGACTTATGCAAAAAAAAAAGGCTGTTTTTGCACCAGTTATAATTTATTGTATTTTCTCCTAAACTGTAATTAAAACTCATTGAAAAATGTGTTGTGGCTAAACAGACCAAAATGTAAAAACATAGTCCAAAGCTGTGATCAAAATCTAAAGCAGTTATGAAATTAAATGACTTTTTTTAAAGTGGTAATTGTTACAAAGTTTATGCCTAACAAATAACTTCACCAGCTAGTCCTTGAATTGGAAAAACAGTTTTGTTCTGACTGGATTAATAAGCTGGCAGTTAGTCCAAACAGGGCCAAGACCATAGCTGACCCTTTCAGTCTTTTTATGCAAACGTAATAAATGTTTAGATGTGTATAACATTAAATGCATCTTTAGGTTTCGAAATTAGTATAAAACATTGTTGATGTGATGTGACACTTTGAATGTAATTTTTTTTTCTTTTATTTACCTAATACTTTTGTTTTTACACAAAACATCTTTGGAAACATCCACATTTGTTTCAGTGCCTCCTGCCACCTCTATCCTCCCACACCAGCAGCTCTGCCATCATCTCTTCTCCACCATTCTTCATCCCTTATCTTCAGAGTCCGTGGCCTTAGTGGGAGACAGGTAGAGGTAGACTGGGCTTCAGCTGCCTGTCATTAGCTTGATGGCACAAAGCTTCAGCAGGTGAAGGCCAGCACCTGAAGGGAGACCAGTTTCTGACACCTCTATTAACCTTCATGAGACACCCATCCTCTGTCTCACCCCTGTGTCCTATTTGTCCTCCCTTCCCTCATCTCTCAACTTGTCTCTTGTCTGCTGTTCCCCAGGCAGCAGAAAGATTATCTCTGAAGCAAAGAAATAAAAAATAAATAAAACATAAAAAGACGTGTATTTCTCTCTGCTCTAAAAATTGCAACATTTTGGCATGGCATGGAATTTTTTCTTCAATTATCCACAGGTCACAGTGTCCTTTTATTGTCTGCCATCTTGGAGTGAAATTGAGAATTGGAAACACCCTCTATCAGTTGGTTTTTCCGTCTTGTGAGACGGATAACTGGAAAATTAAGTGAAGTATGAACTTCCTGTTTGGCTACATCTAGGTGTAAGAAAAGTCTCTCAAAAATTGGCTTGCAATGTTAAAATTCAAGATGGTTGACACAATAAATGTGAAAACGGACCACCCTTATCATTGGAGGAAAATGCTTTCTAGTTTTTAATATTGCTTAAAAGGATAGTTTCCCCAAATGATTGGGGTGGCCAGTGGGGTCAAAGCCACCTGCTGGTTCTGCCATTGTGTCTGCAGTGGTGGATAAATATGCTCCCTCTGCTCGCCACATGATCATCACTCAACACCACTTTGGACAAAGAAATAAAAAAATAAAAAAAACTACACAGCCTAGCTTTAACTCACTTGAAAGTATTGCACCAAATGCTTTAAAGTTTACATTCCGTCCCTGTTCACTTCCAGTTCAGATAAACACTAATCTCTAAAACCGCAAACATTCACTATTCAAATCCTTCTGTGACGAGGGGACATCAGCGTACCATTTATTTGTCCTGCATCTCCAACTTGTTTTGTTTTTCTTCTTTCTGCCAGTCTTGACATAACTCAGACTCATCTATAATCTCATCTACAGTACAATCAGTAGTTATAGTCGGGTGACCTGCATGAGAGGATTTGCAGTGAGTCAGGGCGTTTTGTATAATTTATTTCAGTGATGCGAAGCCAAAGGGTGGAAATGAACAAAATGCTGCTGCTTTTTCATGTCAAATCAACCAAAAATAATGGAAGTTAATGAAAAGTGAGTTGTGCAAATTAAAACAGATGTAAACCTGTTGGTGGAACACGTGACCCGTACCGTGACACCGATTTGATCAAATCTTTGGTGTAATTTAAACAAACGACGGTGGCAGAATAGTTTCCATCTGTTTGGTGTCTGAGCTGTTGTAAAAAGAGCCTCGTTACTCTTTTAGCATCAACTGATATTGTAGGTTGTACACAATGATCAGGAATTTCATTGTTTGCTTTAAAGCAGAWCCTATTAGTTACCATGGTGTGAACATAATCAGTAGTTGTCTAAATATTTTAATTAGAAGTGGCAGCTTTTGCAAAATATTGACCAAAGAAATGTGATGAAGCCAGAGCACCGAGACTACAACAGAAAAAAAAATTCCAGTTTCTCTTTGATTTGAGCCCAGATATGAAGGATAAATAATTAAGGTATTTCTGTAACATTTTATTCACTAGTTATCACAAATTTCATCATCGGATGACATCAACTTTCATCATTATGTCGACGACACGCAGCTTTATATTGTCATATCTGTAGATGAATGCACGGTAGATTGATGCGCTATTTTAACTTTATTGAAGATGTTAAATTGTGATTGGCATAATAATCTCTACAGAAAAGACACAACTGAAATGATAGATAATGAAACTGAATAAACAGTGAATGCTGGCAAACTTAAAATCTCTGAACTCTAATTATATCAGTTTCTCTTAACATAATTTTAATAAGAAAAGATTTTTTGCAAGAGTTTGACTTTTCCTCTTTTATGAAAAGACTGATTAATTAAAGTGCTTCTGCACCTTTAGTCAGTTTAATATTATAAGTGACAGTTTAATGATTACACATGATGTTGTTCTTTCTTTTTCAAATTCCCTTTTAATCCTTTTCTTGTCTTTTATTTTTGTATAATACTCTGTAAACGTGGGCCATTTCATCCCACAATTAATCAGTAGTGCAGTAATAAGGCTCAGGTTTCCACTGAGCTTCTAATGCAGTACACTGTGCATTTACACAAAATGTGTATGACAGAATGCAGCGAGGGAATGATGAGGCTGTTTGTACAGTGAAGATGAGAGGGAAACTTGCCTCCCCCCACTGTTTTCTGCCTCTCGCTGAGTGAAGAAGACAGTAATTGGAAAAGTCGGGGTGTGCCAGCTTCACTGGGGATGAGAGCAGGAAGGACAGAGTCTCTCTGAGAGACGCTTTTCAACACTGTCAGCAGATCAGAATATTTCTAATGATCTAATAGAATAATCTCACGTCCCCTTCACAGATAGGTTAACCCCTCACTCACCAACAACTGCTGATATGTTATTTCCTGTTTGTGCGGCTTTTAGTCATAAAAGATTCACCTTCCTCTGCAGCTCTCATCAGCTCTGCTGTTTGATGCTGTATACACCGTGGTCGCAGCGGTCCAGGAGTTGAACCGGAGCCAGAACGTTGGAGCCACTCAGCTCTCCTGCAAGTCCTCCAAGATCTGGGAGCACGGCACCAGCCTCATGAATTACCTGAGGATGGTAAGATCACCTGCGCTGAACACAAACACAAGAAGGAGAAATATTTAGTTGGAGAGAAAAGTTGGACTTCATWATGTTTATCAGTTTTGTCCCTTACAGTCAAAACGCAAAAAAAACAACTTCTGGTTTCACTAAAAGTCCATAAGCCAGAGGAAAATGTTAAAGATTTTTGTTGWGCGTAGTGTTTTTGTTTTTATGTTTTTTTCCTCAAGCAATCCCTTTAAAATAAAGTATGCTTGTTAAAATCATGATCACAGCTTGATTAATATTTTATAGTCAGGATAATTTCACTGACAGCAGATAATGTCTGTTTTCCTCTCATTTGAAGACTTGCTCTCTATTCACTCAGTCAGTTCATCTTGTCTCGACATTATACTGAGAAATAATGAAGGAGGACCGATAAAGATGTGCTGTCAGGGGAGAAAAAGTGTTTTCCTGTTGGAGACAAATGGCTGCAAGTGATCAAAATACTTAAATACAACACATCTTTGACATCAATCTGTTTGTCTTTATTACCACAAAAAAACAACAAGCGGGATTATAATCACTTTGTCTTGGTGGAAATGAATGTTATTACACTCCTGTGTAAACAAGATTATCTTATTTATTTTAAAAAGGATCAGTTTAGACTCAGGTCATGTGCTGCTGAGAAAAAAAAGGGTTTTGTTAAATCTTTTACCTCTTTGCTCCTTCTGTGTTGGATAGGTAGAGTTGGAAGGTCTAACGGGTCACATTGAATTCAACAGCAAAGGCCAACGGTCGAACTACGCCCTGAGGATCATGCAGAACAGCAAGGGGGGCCTGAGGCAGGTAAAGTTCCTCTCAGTCTTATCCAGCTAATGTTAGGGTTGTCTGATTTCAGTCCCATCAAGTGTTTTGGTACAAAAACCTGCATTTAGTGAATGTTGTCAGTTTTATAGAATTTACACACAATTAGTTTTGTGTTTCTGAAAAAACATTTTCTTTA